GCCAAGGGTTATGCCAATATTTCTTCCTTAGTGTCTGAAGTATATGGTCGCTTTAAAACACACGGGGGCTATCCCGAAAAATGCTGTTTTGAGAAAATCGAAGGTAAAGTTTTTGCCCCTTGTTTACTTGATCAGTTTCTTTAAAAGACAAGGAGAGTTTTCTCTATAACTGAACAAATATACGCACCAATGAAAACAAAATTCTTCTATAGGTAGGGCATTGCCCACTTTTGGTGTAGGTCAAGATTTCTGGAAACCCCGAAATCTGGGTTAGCCCGCTTGTCCTTAAAAGCGACATATTGTCCCTGTAAGCCTCTAAACGCATAAAGCCCTGAATTTTGGAAAATAATATTTTGGTTTTATTTCACTCCAATAGGTTTCCCCCACTTCCTCTATAAATATTAAAGTAATTGAACAAATGAAAATTGCACTTTTTGTCACAGATTCTAAACGCGCGTAACAAGATTTCACCTTGATTTGAAACTCTAAACGCAGAAGTCCCAGCCCGGCACCTGCGTTCAAAACAATAATTTTGTTTCATTTTTGGTTCAAGTAACAGCCTACAGGTGAGTTTATGCCATTTCTTCCATCATATTAAGATGTGTATGTAAGATACTTTTCGAAATTATTATGTGTTTATTTAGATAAATCTTTGTTTTGTGTGATACATTGTGACATCTGGGTTTAGAGCTTACAAAGTCGCCTATAATTCTGAAAGCTTCATGGTGACGTGCGAGGAGATTGTCAAGACTTGCGCGTTTAGTTTTCATGTGAAAGGTTAACCCCGTTGACACCATTTAAATCTCAACAATATAGATTAGTCATTGAATATTGTTAGTCACAGGTTCAGATCTCATCAATGTTGATTAATGTTAGGTTTTAATTAGTCATAGATGTATCTCAGCATTGTGGATTGATCGTTATTATATTTTAACCCGCTATAAGATAAGAGTTTCCCAAAGTCAAACGCCATTGAAAGTGGGGATTATTTTGAAACATTCAAAATTACTTTTACTTTAGAAGAAGCATACTTTATTATACATTTAATAACTTTTTATATCATTATTCATATTTCAGTCATGAACCACTTTTCACGAGGCTATAAACTGTTACAGCTGTCTAAAAAGGTAGCAGCAAACCCTCCAGTGAAGCTTCCATGTCCACAGTCCAGGGGACATACCCAGCACCTCTCTAAGGGAAATGCCTGTCCTCACTCCTCAGAGGGACATGCCCACGAGTCTTCTCTGTATGAACCACTTGACAATTTTTAAGATATATCATTTATTCATTTGTATTTGTTAGACATGTCAGTGAATAGCAGTGATTTAGTGTCTTTTGATTACAATAAGGCTATTGAGAAGAATGTAGTCACTGAAACTGCTGCTAACCTGCATGACGATAGTTCTAGTCATTTTCAGAATGTTCTTGATTTGAGTATGTCTATACATGATGATGGAGAAACAGATGTGAATGTAAATGTTAGTGGAGAAAAGGTTCTTGATGTGAAAATATGTGATGCTAGAGATAAGGCTCATGATTTGAATGTGCGTGATGGTAGATATGGGTCTCTTTTTGTGAATGCTGATTGCAGCAGAGAAAATGTTCTAAATCATAATGCGAATGCATATGACGGTGTAGATGAAGTTTTTTTATTCCAATATGTATGATGGTAGATTTGAAGCTTTTGAGTTGTTAAATGTCACTGATCCTATAGGTGAAATTGTTGATTCCAACATGCATGATGAAGATTTGGATTTGAATATCACTGACCAGAGAGGCGAACATGTTGATTCCAATATACGTGTTGATAGAGGTGAAGCTCTTGTTGATCAATCGTGTGGTGATGGAAATGACAGCGATAATATGAGAGTAATCAAGGGAAAGAAAAGAAAGCTTGGAAGGGAAAACTGGGAGAGATTTGTGAATGCAAGAAACATGAAACGGGGCAATCTTATGAAGGAAGGCGATACAGGGTTTGAGAACGTTGAAAAGGATGGAAGAACTTTGGGGGAACGATGCTCTTGCAAGGCTAAGTGTAATCAGTGTTCGAATGTCACAGAAGAAGAGAGGTAGGAAATATTTTATTTCTTATTGTCGCTGCCCTGGCCAAAGAATGGTGTATTTTTGCATGGACATGTATGCGAGGTGCCAGCCAAACAGAAAAGCAGCGTCTGCAGCATCCTGTAGGACTACGTCCCTGTAGTATTCTCTGAAAACCAGTTGAGGCAGATTCAGGGTCTACTGTCAGACGTTTTTGTCCACAATAAGACTCAAGGACTAGTACGGTATGTGAGACACCATCGCGGAGGACTAGGTGATGGCTTATCAACAGGGAATGAGTCTTCTCGGAGACCAGCATCTGACTCTGATGCGCGATTACATCTGAGAGCCTTCCTTGAAAGTCTGCCTAAAACGGAGTATCACTATTGCCGAAAGAAAAGCTCCAAGCTATATTTAGAGGCAGTTTTCCAGAGCAGGACCGATCTATTTCGTCTCTATGAAACTAAATGTAAAGAAAAGAAGATGGAGGCTTTTACTCGTCCAATTCTTGACGATGAATTACAGAAAATGAATCTTTCTCTTTTCAAACCGTGCAAAGAAGGCAATGTCGATGAAGACATATCTTGCTCATGGGCAAAAGAAAGAAAGGGCACAGCAAGAGATGGCAGCAGATGAGGAAATGGTCCAAAATAACGACACGACAAAGGTCATTACTGTGGATCTACTGTCAGTTTTGCTTTGCCCCATGCTGAAAGCATCGGCATTATACTATAGGACCAGACTCTGTGTCCATAACTTCACAATATTTGATTTATAGTCACTTGGCGTCCAATGCCATGTCTGGCACGAGGCGGAAGGGGGCTTGACTGCTCACGAATTTGCTTCTTGCATTGTGGATTACCTGGAAAGTGATCTGTCTTTTGATAGGTACATCATCTATTCCGATAGATGTACTTTTCAGAACAGAAACAAAACATTAGCCACTGCTCTTTCCAGGTTCTCCGTGATGCATGACAAGGAAGTAAAGCAGAAAATACTTGAGAGGGGCCACACAATGATGGAGGTGGATGACGTCCACTGCGTTATCGAAAGACGAATAAAGAATAAGAAGATTTTCCTTCCAATCGACTATGTTTGATTAATTGAAGAAGCCTGAAGAAAGCCATTTCCACACTCTGTTGAGTATTTCTCAAATTTTGATGGTGTGAACACCCTTAGTTGCATCCGTCCAGGAAAGAAAGCTGGGGATGCTACAGTCACTGACATCAGGGCTCTGAAATACCTGCCTAATGGAAAAATACTCCATAAACTTGGATTCGGGGACGAATGGTCAGAGTTTCCAGAGAAAAGAAATCAGTCTACAGCACTGATTGCCACTCCCAAGAAGCTGTTTTATGCCAGCAGGAGCATCTCAAATGCCAAATTCAAACATTTGAAAGTAATATCATCGGAATGTTGGGTATTTTATGACAAGTTGAAACAAGACTGAACCGGGAATATCCTTAACAATACACTTTATAAAAGCAATCAATTTTTTATACAATTATTATACAAATTTTCTTCTTGTTATCTTCACGGTGCTTGCGCAGCCCATAAGGCTGATACGGTGGAATGCTATCTCTCCCTGTCTAAGGCCAATCTCTTGATCTGTCCCCATGACCATCCCTTGAACTTCATCTCCTGTTCAATGCTCATTCGCCGGGTCTCCAGCGGGCGGCCTCCTTTTTTTGTTCCTCTGGCTATCCTGGGAGTGGCATTTGGGTCCATTCTAATGACATGTCCAATCCAGCTCCACCTTTTCCTTCTCTCCACTATGAATACTGGTTCGATAATTGTTTTTTCAGGCAGTTCTTTAGTTGATATAGTTCTGGATCATTAACTTGAATAAGTCTTCTTAGGGAATTTTTTTTTGGGGAGTGGGGGGTGCGAGGAAGGTTGAATGATATAAGATGGAATCATTTTCAATTTCTACTCGGTGATATTTAATTGATGTGTTTTTTTATTATATAAAATGTTCTGTTATATTATATCATGTGTTACAGTTATAGCATTACTTTTATACAGTTGAAAATTTGCTTGAAAGAATGAACTGGCTCCTTTTCGTAATTTGTTGGGTGATTGGAAGGCTGCTCCCGTATGCTTTGCTACTTCTCACACAATCTACACTTTGTCATTCTAAGGGTTTTCTTCTGTTGTCTTTCGTCATAATCCTCTTACTTACAATAGGCCTACAGTCGCTTGGTGTTGAAAGTGTGAAAGGACTGGAAAATAAGAATAATATCAACCAGATGTATAGTTAATTAACCAATTAATTCAATCAATCAATATTACTTGCAAAAGTTAAATGCACCTAGAATCTATAAAACCAATCTGCCTTATTTCTTCAAAGTCTTCAAAGTCCTTTGCATAGTTTTAAAAATAAATAAACTGAAAGATTCGTGCTGTAAACAAGTAAGTCAAAGATTCACAAGCCATGTTAAAATAATGAAAGCTCTAAACGCGTTTGTCGCTCCTGTAAAATTTGCCTCAATGGACTTACACGTTTAGCAACTGACAGGGACGATATATATTATGCAATCCTGCAGCAGAAGTTTCTCTGTTTGGTTTCCGGTTCCCCACTGACACTGATAGCTCTATATTAAAATGATGCTTTGAGCACCTTATTGTCTTTACTGATTAAACCAATTTTTTGCTTTTGAGGTCGAATAGGCCTTTTTTTGTATTATTTACACAATCTACATTATCCATGGCAGCATTTATCATGTGTATTTATATATATAACGAAGTACAGTATAACCAGAGAGGTTGAACACAGAAGTTTCTAAATCACGCATCCGTCAGACTGTGCCTGCGGTCCCATTTTTTTTCCTTCTCTATCTTTGTAAGAAATTAATGCGAAGCTCGAACACAAACACAGAATTGTCGAACGAATTTTCAGTACTTACATTTACTTTTTACTTGATCGTAATAGATGACATTTTTTTACCCCCACTTTTCAGGACCAAGGGTTACAACTGACAAAATGGCATCTCCTGATGCACAAGAAAATCACTATCTGAGCATTGTTTCCCTTGGCAAGCGCGAATTCTTCCGCAAGGCTCATTTCTCGCACAAGTTTCGTGGAGAAAATGTCTCTGTGCAGAGAGGGTTCCTGTCCACAAACAAGTACACTAAGGCACATGGTCAGTGCATAATGCAAGAACCGTTGACACCTGGACAAACCTTCCAGCTGTCTTGTTGCGGGACAGGTCTGTAGTATTTTTAAAGCCTAACTTTAAAAAATGTGTACAATGAATTAGAGTTTTTAAAAAACCTGTTACAATCATAATTTTTTTTTCTTTTTCATGCTTCTGTTTGAACAATTTAAATGATTAATGCTGCAGCTACGTTTTAATTCTGCTTCAGTTTAACGCTTTTTGTAAATACAGTTTTTTTGTTCTTGAATATTTTATTTTACATAATATACAATTGAACCTGCTTTAACGGCCACATGTCGTAAGATAATCACCTGTACAGACAGCCACTTCCTATTTCCCAACCATACATCTGTTTGCTATGTATATGCACGACATATCTGTCTCCCCCAGTCAATATCAGTCGTAAGACACAGTGTGCTATTTTCAGCTACGAGGCTCAAAAGGCAAAAAACTAAAAAGTGGTTTTCCATGAAGTTTTTGTTTTTTGGATCAATTGAAAGTTTGATGTCTTCTGCTTCATTTAAGATAAAAATAAACGACTATAACTTTCAAATCTCTATCTCAATTCTAAGACCCCCATTGCTATGGAAACGTGTGGCTCAACTTCCAAGGCAATTTTCTCCTTTTTGTGTTTCCTCACCTTGCTCAATTAAAAGTTCTCTATTTTTGATTTTTTTTTTTAATGTTTGTATTTTTGTTTTGGTTGGGGGGGGGGGGGGGGGGGGTGAGGGGTGCTCAACACTTTTTATATCCATTTAGAAACACATTTCTGTGTGGGCTTTACTGAAAAACGTTGATTAATGACACAAAAAATTGTAAATTTTAAATTTCCAAGGACACACCGTTGATGGAAATCACCAGACTTAGGTGGCTATTTTATTGTAAATTTTATATCTTCACCAGACAACTTTTACCTCCTTCAATCACAAATATTTTGACTTCTATTCAAGATAAAGGGTATTTTTTTCAACAAAAGCAAGTCAAACATAAACAAGTGTTAAGATTCAATAACTCCATTCGCCAAAACATTGATGAGCGCCTGATTCCAACATATAAAGACGCACACACATCACACAAAAACACACACACAGACACACGCGCACACACATACACACATATTATAATATATGCATGTCCACTTGTCGATTGGTTTATCTCTCTTCTTCTTGTTTGTAATCGTGTCAGTCTGTTCATAGAGCTACTTTTCATGTCTCTTGTTTCAGCTTTTTCAATTTCTTACTCAAATATGGATCCTCTCCTACTCAGGTGTCATCAAGCTTGGTGCATTCCCCAGTAAAAAAGACGCAGTAAATTGGCTTGAATCGGGACAGCACCTTGGAAAATTCTGCAAACCCTTAAGGTTTCGCATTGCCTTTTTGAGAAACTTTGACTGTTCATTGGCACCAAACGGGAGGTTTTTGGAGCTCAATGAAAAGGAGCGTTTAAGTGGATATTGGAAGGTATTGCTATTTAACCATCTATCCATTCATCCATCCGTCCATCCATCCATCCACCCACCTACCCACCCATCCACCCATCCATCATCCATCTATTTATCTGTCTGTTTCTGCCTGCATGCCAGCCAGCGTTTTGTCTGCCTGTTGACCTTTCATCACTGATTCAGCCTGCATTGTCCCTCACAGTGGCTGACTGTCTCCTGTTTTTTTTACCCAGAGCTGCTCAGAGTAGCTCTTATATATTGCTACCTTTCTTCACATCACATTTCTCTCTTCTTTTTCCCCTTACCACTTACATTTCAACCCTTTTCTTCTTGTGTCGTTGAATAGTTTTTATTTTCAATATTTCTATATCTGCCACGTAGGGTGTTTAAAATCAAATTTAGAGATTTCTTTATTGACTTTTTATGAGGCCACCCGTGAGGTCATGAAGCGATTTATAAAAAATTACTTGGGTCCGGTGTCAGAATTATGTGCGGGCTGAATCAGTTAATTCCAGTCATCATTGTTTCTTTTTCTGACTTCCAGGCGGTGTATCAATTACAAGCTGGGCCATATACTGTCTTAGGCTTCGATATAGCATTTGGTGATGTGGAGGTGTCTTTGTCCAGATTCAGCTCTTCATTCTGCCCGTCCTTTCACCAGCAGCTCTGCAGGTAGGTCTTCTGACTGTGCGCTGTACTTACTCATCCGTACTGGCACAGTAATGTCCGTTGTTCTTACTGTGAATTTCATTATTTGAGTACGAGTGTTATGTAATGCTCACTAAACGCCAGCCCTCCACTTCATTTCATGGAAGTCCGTCTGTCCCCCCCAATCTCCAACAAAACCATACTCAGCTATTTAACCCCCCCCCCCCCCCCCCCCCTCCAAAAAAAGAAACACCCAAGTTAGAAAACCCCCATAAACCCAATCATAACAAAACAGCAACTCACTTTCTCTGTTACCAGCTGGCAAGTGAACATTTTCAACATACATGATTGTTCAGGGCACTTCCCCCCTCCCCTACCGATTTTTTTTTTAGGTTCATCAATTTCAATGTCCGTTTAAAAACACATCTCTGTGTAAATGTTCCTGAAAATCATTTATTAAAGGCATAAAAAAATGTAAATTTTCTATTTCCAAAGACTCTCAAGCTATAGAAGTCACTTAACTTTGGCGGCCATTTTGTCACTGACTTTTCCTCTAAAACCAGGCGATCCCCACGTCCTTCTATCAGGAATATTTAGACTTCTGTTTAAGATGGATTGGTATTTATTTTTTTTCTTCAAAAGCAAGACTTTAAAAACAAACTTTAAAATGATACCAATAACTCCATATATCCCCAAGAATTGTCGAACGCCTGATTTCACCACTTCGTGACACTAATAAATAAATAAACCTAACAGAACTGTTGTCTTTCTGTGTCTGTGGTCCGCTGTGTTATCAACAAACATGATTGTTCAGGACATCTACCTCTACCCACTCCCCACCACCTCCTCAAATACCCCCCCCCCCCCACCCCACCACCCCTGGAAAAAGCCAACAAAAATAAAAATATGAATGTTAGGCAGTGTGGTGATATCAGGCGCTCGTCAAAATATAGAATTCGGAGAAACAGACAATTTTCCCGCCAGTCTGGAAATTTTTATCGAATATTAATTTTTTTATTTTAACCTCTTTAATGCCCATATAAAAACACATTTCAGTTGTGAATTGTAATGAAAAACATTGATTAAAGGCACAAAATATGTCATTTTTCTGTTTTCAAGGACTCTCTAGCTATTGGAATTACCAAACTTTCACCACTGAAGCTAGGCGAACTCACTTCCTTTAATCGCAAATATCTTGAATTCTATTCTAGACAGATGGATATCATTTCAGCAAATATCTTGAGTTCTATTCTAGATAGATGGATATCGTTTCATTGGAAGTGCGGCAAATAAATAAGTTTTCCAATGATACCCATAACTCCACTTGCTAAAAAATTGACAGGCTCCTGATTCCACCACGTCGTGACACAAAAAATATATAAATGAATGTAATAAAACTGTAGTGTTTCTGTGTCTGGTCAGCCATCACGTGAACGTCCACGGGCCCATTGCAAAGCTGAAGCACGACAGCCCCACCTCCCTGATCTGCCTGAGCCTCCGCAACAACTGGCTGAGCCAAGGCGCCAGCTTCCGTCTCCGAGTGTCCCGCATACCCTCAGAACCCAGCATGGGCTACTTTCGGGTCTGTGTGTCCCCCTATGATAGCATTGTGGCGAGGGGAGGGGGCGTCAAATTCACTGGCTCCCAGGACTTCCCTGAGGTGCGTGGACAGCTTCACAAGGTCAAGGCCGATATCTTTTTAATGATAGAGGTTGTGGACGACACGCATGTTCTCCTCAGGACGGGATGGTGAGTCATAGCAGGGGCCGACTCCGTTACAACGCTAGAGCTGTAAATCTGTTTGTCTGTCTATTGATCTAGAGCTGTAGATTTGTTCATTTATCTTTCTATCTTTCTATCTACGTCTCATTCACAATGCTAGAGCTGTAGATTTGTTCATTTATCTTTCTGTCTTTCTATTTACGTTTCAGTCACAACACTAGAGCTGTAGGTCTGTTATTTTTTTATCAGTTTAATTTTATGTAACCCAGAGTCTTTGGTATCACAATTTAATGGGACTGATCATCTTGTTGTTGGAATTGAGAAATTCAAAAAAAACCCAAAGGCCAGAGAATCAAGAGTCATTTTAGAAACAAATTGTCTCTGCACCACCAAGCCCCAAATTGATGTAAGACTGCATATTTAGAGGTCTGAAGAACTGCTCAAATTATGGCACATTCTTTTAGCAAGATGTCTCTTTACTCATTGATCATGGAAATTGATTTCCTCAGTTTGACGGAATGGTTCTTTATTTTTTAACAAATCGACTCGACTACTTTCACTAAATGTTTTTCGGCTTAAGACTAAGAACTGACATAAACATAAAGACACAGGAGTGGAGTTTGGGTTTTTTTTTGGTAAGTGTTTTATTGCACTTGCAACTGCATATGGTCATAGGAGCACGTGGGATAGGTAGGAAATTTTGAATTTTGCGCAGTGCTGGCCAAAGCCTACTCTTATCGATTTTAGACCATCAAGGGATCTTTAACATGGGCAACTTGCACTCAGGACCTCCAGATTCACACAGGATAAAATATTTCACAGTAACAAGGAAAACCAGTTCAAGCACATTAAGAACTTTCACAACCATACATTAATTATATATATACATATACATGTAAGGACAGCAGTAAAAAACCCAACATATCAGCACTTACTAACCAAGAATTAAACAAATGAGTCTTGAGCAATCGCTTAAAAGTATTAAGATTATTATTAAGATTTGTTATTTCTTTGCGATCCTGGTGCAAAGAGTTCCAGATTACAAGTCATTACTTCAAAAAACATGTGATGAAGCCACTCACAAAGCTAAAGGATGGTGTTTGTGAAAGACGTTTAGAGTGGGGAAGAGGGTTGTCAACTTCCTAAGAAAACAATATTGTATGGTTTTATGGAGCATGAAGAAAGGTGTCAGTTTATAAGTAGTAATAATAATAGAAATTATTTTTGAAGTGGAAATATAACGCGTTGAGCCCAAAACAAAAATTGATACAAATTGCCAAATGGACGGAAAATTTGTTGATTTCTTTGGTTTCACTATTTTGACGAGCACCTGATTTCTTCCTGATGCTTCACATATCAATATCTGTATTCATATACATCTCTGTTTTACATCTCTCAGTTCATATAAATCAATGTGGGTGGTTGGCGGGTGCTCTGGTGTGGTTTGCTTCTTCTTTTCTATCAGACATCTATCACCCTTATCTCCTTTTCTTCTTTTTTATGTTTGTTGCTCTCTTGTAACACCTCTAATCTTCTGGCGCTCATATGACCTTATGCAGTTGCGAGCGCCGTAAAACCTCTACTAAAACTAAACTAAACATAAATCAACTTTTCCACGAATCTCTATTTTACATAAACTCCTTCACCCCTTACGTAATCCCCATTTACTGGTGCTTCTTATAACAGGGATCCCCAAGCTGTGGATCAAAGGAAGGAAGTTATTTCTGCTGACCTCAGCAAAAGACAATGTCTTGTCTTTGAGCTGTTTGAAGTGTCCTTGGAGGTCTGGAAAAGTGAGCCACGAGGAGGTAAAGGAGGGAGGGGGAGAGAGAGAGACAGAGACAGAGAGAAAAGGTGAGAGAGAGGTATAGAGAGGATGAGACCAATCTTTATTGTCGATTTACAGAGATATCAAGTAGCTGACAATGATGATAAATTCTAATACAGAACCTGCTAAAACAGCCACCTTTATATGACCTGTATAAGATAATCACCCGTTTAAAAAGTCAACTTGCAACTTCATACCTGGCGGGTTTTTTTTTTTTACATTATAATTATAATGTCGCTGTATGATGTCCAGCTGTCAAAGACTGTCACTTTTCTTGGCCGCCTTGGACAATTTTGACTTTATTTTCTGGAGTTTCTAAAGTTCAATATTTCAGTTTGCTTCCAGGTAATTCTGTGGTGTCTGTAGCCTAGTGGTTAGGCTACTGGACTCATTCAAGAAATTGCGGGTTCGGAGGTTTGAGCCTCTGCTCGGTCCATTTAATGTTGTGTCCTTTGGAAAGGCACTGTTCTCGAATTTTCCACTTGGCTCGGTCCTTTTGGAGATGGACGTTAAACTCTGAAGTCTGGCCTCTTAAATAACCTAACAGTGTTGATTGGGGCGTTCAACCTATACTCTATTGTCATTTTCACCAGGCAATCCCTCTACTCCAACTCCAGCTCGATCAACTGTGGATGGAAGCTGGGGACACATTCGCGTTCCTGCAGAAGCACACGTTCCAAACAGACCTAAGCGAAAGCTGCCCACACTTCCTGATGTTCGACACCAAAGAGCTCCCCAGTCTGATGCAGCTACACAAGTTTACGCGGGTAGCACCAACAGTAGCCAGGAATCCAGGTAGATTTAGTTTTTATGATGGTGCAGTGGAGTCTGCTCAACTGATTCAGTCTGCAAATAATTTTGACTCCGGACGCAAATAATTTGTGACTGCTTTTTTTACCTCATGGGTGGTCTCACAAAAAAGTTAATAAAGAAATATCTGAATTTGATAAAGCCTCTATGTGTTACATATATAGATATTGAAAAAAACAAACTATTCAATGACACCAATAATAAAAATAAAAGATTGATATGTAAGTGGTAAGGAAAAAAGAAGAGAGAAATGTGATGTGCAGAAAGGTAGCAATATTAGTCTATAAGAGCTGGTCAGAGTTCTTCTACGTCAAAACTCATGAGGCAGTCAGGCACTGTGAGCGGTGCTTTGGTTTGAATCAGTTAACCGTATCCATACGCCCTGGGGTCATTTTGTACCCCCGGGGTTGCATTCTTCGCATTTTAGAATACTTATAGTACAAATGTCTCTTTGAAACTTTCATTATTTCTCAAGATATCTTTTTGACAGACTGCTATGCAAAGCATATGGATCGGATTAATGAGTAAATTTCCTCTTTGGAAAGTGGTGGCACAGAGTTTCGCATGTCATATGGATACGATAGTAAAACACGACGTACGGTTATGGTTAAGGGGTCTAGCGGGTAGCGTTTTTGGTCAGTTTTCGATGAAATTATTGATTTTCTGGAAAGCAGCTTTTTAACACCTTTGATCATTGCTGAATCAGTTTTTCTGGTCTTTTGGTAAGAAAAATTGATGAAATAGGTGAAAATATGTCTCAAGCGACCTCACCCCCCTCTTGCAAAATTTATACGACTGCTTGGTCACTTTTCCTCTCTTTTTTGTTACATTTTGTGTCTGCTTGGTTCACTGAACTTCTATAAATGAGGTTATATGTAGGTGTACAGAAATTAGATTTTATATATATATGTGATTAGAAATAATAGTGCAAATGGTACTGGAACCTCTAGAAAGAACAAACCCTCAAAATATACAGTGACATCTTTTAATGTGTTTTTTCTCAAAACGTTATTTTTGAAACTCTTTTCATCACTAAAATCTTAAAATCTGAGCTACTAATCAAGATAATGTACTGAGACTTTCCAAGTAAGTGCAGATTTGGTTATTACAGGTACCAGGCTAATTATATTTGAGAAAATGCACTTAATATTTCAGAAATCTGCTTTTGAAAATGATTTGCGTGTAAAATTGATACAAAAAAGGGACATTACTTTGAAAAGTGATTTGTTGTCAAAGTCGTCAGAAAGGAATGTGCCCGAGCCGCTGTGAGCAGCTCGCCGGTAGGAGTGGCTTGCCGAAGATAAGGAGTTAAACATGTGATAAAGGCAGGCTGGCTGTCCATGGCCTCCTATCAAACATCTATTGTCCTTATCTCTTCTCCTTTGTTATGATACTCTCTAGTAATACCTCTAATCTTCTGCTCTTGATCGACTGATTTGTATTGCAAGTGCTGTAAAACTCGTACTGAAACAAATGTGACGCACCATGGTGAAATCAGGCACTCGTCTGATTATTGAAATCGGAGATTGAGATATTTTTTCGCCAGTTTGGCAATTTTTATCGATATTTTGCTCTTTGGTTTAATACCTTTATGCCTATATGAATGCACACATCCATGTGAATTTTACTGAAAAACATTGATTAAAGGCACATGATATGTAGATTTTCAGTTTTCAAGGAGTCTCAAGATATTTGGTGGTCATTTTCTTGCTAATTTTACCTCTGAAATCAGGCGACCCCCACCTCCTTCAGTCACAAATATCTCGACTTCTATTCAAGATACATGTTGGGCATTTCTCTTTTATTGAAAACACAGTAAATGAACAAGCTTTCAGGTGATAACAATAACGCCAGATGCCCCAAAATTGACGGGTGCCTACTTCCTCCTCGTCATGACAAAAATGGTTATGTTTATCATCTTTTCTTTAGTAAAATCTTTAATCTACATGTACGTTTTCCTTTTTTTGTTTTGTTTATCAGATACAATTCTGACCCAGCCAAGGGGGCCACGCCTGCACTCCAAGGCCCGACGCCTGTGATGGAGAAAAGCAAGGAGAAAGGAAAGAAGAAAGGAGAGAGGCAGGCAAATGAAGAGGAGGAGGAGGAGGAGTGCATGCGAATGTATGGGGATCCTCCTCCCAGGCCTCACCTCATGAGCCAGGACATTCACATTGGTTTGAACAAGGATCTTGTCGCGCCGCCGAGATATATGAATAAAGGTCAGGAAGGAGACATCTCGGCTAGTAGGCAGCATGACAGGCATAGTGTTGGCGAGAGTTCGAGACCTGCTGCAGGAAGAAGAATTTTGAAGGAGAGTTATCCACTCTCGCTGACAAGACCAGATACCAAAATGATAGATATGGCTGGTGGTGCCCCAGTGACTAATCCTGGCGCCTGGAATCCTGCAGATGAAACCTCAAAGACTGATGTTAGCTCCTCAAATATTGTTCTCCCCGAGCAAATGAAAGTCCGCCACACTCCAGCTTTCCATCGTCGGACAGAGACAGGGACAGGTGTTGAGAAAGATGGTGATCATTGTTCCGATTACGAATACATCAGCTTACCAGCATGGGCCAGAGACCAGAAAAGCAGAAGCAGATGCAATCCTTCTGCTGAAAGGATTTCATCATCCCAGGATAAATCAAAGGAGGAAGACAGTGCTGGCGTCAATAATGCAAGGAGTAAATGCATTCTGTCGGTGAATGTTCACACAAGTGAAGGTGAGCAAGAAAGTGTAGACCAAAACGAAAATGTTTATGATAAGTTACTGGACTGTGACTTACAGCACCCCTTTGAAGGTTTAATGAACTCTGACCACATTGAAGTGTCTTTCTTACCGTCACTGCCTGACTCGGGTGACTGTAGAAGTCTGCGGGGTGGTGAGCCCGCTGTGGATTTAGACGGCACCTCGGACAGCAGCTTCATGCTTTGTCTCGGTTCAAGTTTTGATGTGGACAGCCAATCTGAAGTCCTGGAGACGTCCTACTCTTTGCGTTTACACCCCGATGTGAATCCTCCAAATTTGTCTTTTGCTTCGGTAGATGTTCACATTAGCCCACAGGATGCAGGTGCAGTTAGTTTCAATGAACTCTCTCATGATATAGAGAACTTGAAGGAAAGACTTCAGGCCTTTACTGTTCCCAAGAGAGTTGTAAGTTCCTCGAGGGACTTTGAAGATTCTAATGGATCTGGTCAAAGCAGGGGCAGTGGCAGCGATGGCCCTGACTCCTTGACCCGTCTGACAGCTTGTAGTTCTGGTCAGGAGGCTGAAGGTGGTGAGGACATGTTAGACGGCGCTCCCTTACAAGTCCTGGAAGCGTCTCTTGTCCCGCCAGTTTTTCCTTGCCACGACGGACAGATGAACTCAGGGTCACATATAAATCTAAACTCGCTGAGGGATCCAAAATCGCCTCAGTGCACTGCTCTGAAAATGAAGAGTACTCCTCATGAGAATGTGGGGAGACGTACAGATGGGTTGACGAGAGAGGACACTACTTTGCTGTGTTTTCCAGCAGCTTCTTGCAAAAGTGGGGCTGCAGCTGTATCAAACTTGGAGAGAAGTTACAGTGCTCCCCGAGCCATCTACTCGGTCCAAGCATGGAGCAATGAGCTGAACAGGCCGCAGAGGGTCCATTCTGTTAGGTGCAAGCCTGAGACAAAAGTTCAATTTGACCGGAATATCGTGCAGAGCTCAAACCTCAACTCACTAGGGGACTTGAAGGATTGTGTTGACAGCAATACAGACTCCAGCTCTTCCAGTTCAGTAGAGACCTCTCTATCTTGTGATGTAGTGACCTCTGAACCTCGTAATGTAGTGACCCCTGAACCTAGTGATGTAGTGACCCCTGAACCTCGTAATGTAGTGACCTCTGAACCTCGTAATGTAGTGACCCCTCGTAATGTAGTGACCTCTGAACCTCGTAATGTAGTGACCCCTGAACCAAGTGATGTAGTGACCCCTGAACCTAATGATGAAGTGATCTCTGCACCTTGTGATGAAGTGACCTTTGCACCTTGTGACGTCATTTTGTTAGAAACAGGTTCTTGTATAACTTGCCCTCCTCATGTTTTAGATGCCTTGAGAAAGTAGAGTTCTGAAATGTTCATTGCATATCGGCGTCTGTGGTGTAGCAGCTAAACACCTCACCTTCACACGCAGAAGACGTGAGGTCCAGTTTTGACATTCCAAGGGTGTTGGTTTGCTGCCGCAGGTGTGACTCGGTGCTTTCTCAATTTTTCTACTCTGCCAGGCATCCTGAGTCTTCTACATTTTTACCACAAAAAAGTCCCAAAACAACTTAAGTATTTTCTAAGGTTTACTTTACTAATATGTACTTACTTACTTACTTTATTTCATCCGTCCTCTTGTACCTCTAGGGAATTGAGGGGAGAAAGCTTTTTGTCTCTAGAAAATTGGGTGGCCTGGCTGGGTGGAATGCTGTACGTTTTCAGGGTATCCTTCACACCTTTGATCCAGGTTTTCCTTGGTCTTCGTCTTGCCTTGTACCCTGATACTGGCAAGTTGGTGAGGTGTCATAAATGTCAGATGTCCTAACCACCCCATTGTTTGCCTCTGAATCTAGTGGAGAACAGGTGTAGGTCTCATCATTTCTCTGATCCTGTTGTTTCTGATCATGGCCTGTCTGGTTTTGTTGACGGCTCTCCTTAGACATCTCATCTCGCCTTGGTTGGTCAAGGTAGGGATAGAGTAAATGAGCTTGGCTTTGGTCTCAATGGGGATGTTCGGAGGATGTTTGAGGAGTGGGACAAGCTGGTAAGCTGACGCTGTTAGTGTTAGCCTTTTGTGTTATATACCAAGTAAGACGACATGCCGATATTCCTCTGTCTTGACACATCATATATGGCTTAATACATTTGAGGGTGGATTGATGTTTCGCCATTGAGGAGCCAAAAGCTGCCATTTTGGCTAAATTTGATAAATCCTCCAAAATCAAAGAGTTTTGTCAATTTCACAATGGGGTCCGGTTTGCTGAATGAATGTCTTGGTCAACAGCCAGCTACAAAGCTACTATATGTGTCGTGTGACATTGTGTGGTCAGCTCTTATGTTTGCGTGTGGAGTGTGATAGGCTTTGTTGACTTCTGTGAGTCTTATTTGAAGGAACAAACAGGAGGTGTTTGTGTGTGTGCGTGTGTGTGTGTGTGTGTCACAACACCGTGAAATCAGGCTCATCAATGTTTTTGTAAATGGCTAATCTTAACACTTATTTATACTTGAATTGCTTTTCATGAAAACAACTACAAATTTATTTTGAATAGAAGTCAAGATATTTAATATTTGCAATTGAAGAAGGTGGAGGGTTGCCTGGTGGTGTTTCTGACTAGACTTTAATGCTTTAAGATTGAGTGGTACTGTAATTGTAAATCTTTGAAAAAAAAAAGTGTTCACGCCAATGTGTGGTTTAAAATAGATCTGTAGTTCCATGTTTAAGTGGATTCTTTTTAACTGTTTACATGTATATTGTTTTGTTGTTATTTTGTTTCTGTGTTCTGCAGACCCTGACAATGATAATCTTTATTCATCTCACAGGGAGAAATTTGTCTTGGTCATTTTACAGTGGCAGTGGAAAGTTACAAAGGTTAGGTTGGATGGTTGGCGGGTGCTCTGGTGTGGTTTGCTCCTTCTTTCCTATCTGACCTCTATCGTTCTTACCTCCCCTCCTTCATTTTTGTGTTTGTTACTCTCCTGTAACTAAACAAATATTAGGTGCAGTCACTCATACACACAAGACAGGACATTAGTAAATACATGTTTTACTCTTTACGAGGATATGAGTCGATGGTTTCACTGTGTGGGTGGTTGACGGGTGCTTTGGTGTGGTTTGCTTCTTTTTTCCTATCAAACATCTGTCGTCCTTATCTCCCCTTCTTCTTTTTAATGTTTGTTACTCTCTTGTAACACCTCTAATCTGCTGGCGCTCATATGACCTAATGCAGTTGAGAGTACCGTAAAACCTCTACTAAAACTATTTTAAAAAAAGGTTCCACTGTGACCAAGGTTATTGGAATGTCATTCTTCTGGTTGACAGTGCAGTAAACATTGTCTATGACAGCCATCCCTTGTAGAGGATCAGAACGGCCACCTTAGACAGGTGGTTGTCTTAAAGAAGTAATAATAATAATAATGATAATAATAATAATATTAATAGTAATAATAATGATAATAATAATAATAATTAATAGTAATTTAATATAATGATAATAATAATAATAGTGAAAATGCATGCATTTTTACATATGGGGCATATCTCTATACAGCATTCTCTATAACTAATGCTTTACAACAATTATTACCCAAGCAGACCCCAGAACACTCAGAAAATTTCTTGGTTTCCCTGGAAACATAAAGTAGTGTCATTTTTAAAAAAATCTAAGGAGATAAATTGGGAAACGATCATGTACATGTGATTGTCTTATACAGGTGATTGTCGTATACAGGTGATTGTTGTATACAGGTGATTGTCTTATTTTATGCAGGTGATTGGTGTATACAGTGTATACAGTTGATTGTCTTATACAGGTGATTGTTGTATACAGGTGATTGTCTTATACAGGTGATTGTCGTATACGGGTGATTTTTGTATACAGGTGATTGTCTTATACAGGTGATTGTAGTATACAGGTGATTATCTTATACTGGTGATTGGTGTATGCAGTGTATACAGTTGATTGTCTTATACTACAGGTGATTGTCTTATGCTGGTGATTATTTTATACAGGTGATTGTCTTATACAGATGATTGTCTCATAGAGGTGATTGTCATATACAGGTGAATGTCTTATTCAGGTGGTTGTTGTATACAGGTTTATTGTCGTATACAGGTGATTGTTGTATACAGGTGTACATTAGAGCAGGTTCGACTGCTTTTTCTGTAAAGAGTACGTATACATGTACCTGTCCTAAGGCGATTGGACCTTGCTCTGAGGGAAGTGGGGGTCAAGACCGCATCATCATCATAACCACTGCCATCACCGCTACTACTACTATCATCATCATCGTTGTCATTATCATCATCATCATCATGTTGTTATTCAAGAATGCATTCCAAATTTGATATGGAACCTTATTATTTTTTTTATGGGTGACCTTATTTAGGCCACATATGGCCTAAATAAGCTAAACCCCCCTCCTTTACCTTATTTAGGCCACAGGTGGCCTAAATAAGCTAAACCCCCCTCCCTTACCTTATTTAGGCCACACCTGTGGCCTAAATAAGCTAAACCCCCCTCCCTTACCTTATTTAGGCCACACCTTTATACAAAGTCACAGAAATATTCCTTTTGTGCTTATTGAGGTACAGTGCAGGGTGATTTTACCTGCAAGGATAATTGGACAAAATGGGTAGAATCTTTATTGCTAATGGTCATATTTAGACAAATCCTATATCATTGTCTTTTTTTTTCTTAACTGCTCATGGTTATTAAAGAGTAAGCCAACTAGGTAGTAATTTCGGATTCCTAATACTAATATTATGGGCATTCTTAAAATTTTAAAACTTGTTTTTAGCGCTTTTCTCAACGTAAAACGGATTCCGTAAAAAAACAATGACCATATCTTTCTTTTTCAAAGTATTGTGCATATTAAATTTGTGTGAAACTATATATTCTATGCTTTCATGTACATGAAAAAAGCTAATAAAGGCAAGCAAAATGTTCTTCAGAGACACAGATCTAGTAGTAGGCCCACTGAATTTTTTTTATAAACCGGGAAAGATGACCTGAAGATATCAAAATTATTTTATGATCTTCACTTGCACTTGCAACTTTTTGGATAAATTATAGTCTACCTCATTGTCTTTTTTTCCCATCATTTTTCTTCACTATTCATGACAACTGGCATGTATTGTTTTCAGTTATTATCAAGAAAGTGGATAGGCGGACTACGGGGTCTATCTAGCCAAAAGGATAGGTGGACCCCGGGGTCTACCTAACAAAATGCTAGGATTTAGGATGTGAACCCCGGAGTGAGCGTAGTGAAATAAGTAGTAGATCTAGGTTTAACTAAGGATCGGTGGACCCCGGGGTCAACATAGTGAAATAAGTAGATCTCAGTTTGTTTTATAGTAGGACTGGCGGAGCCCGTGGTCAATGTAGTGAAATTATAAGTAGATATAGGTTTAATTAAGGATTGGTGGACCCCGGGGTCAATGTAGTGAAATCAGTAGATCTAGGTTTAATTAAGGATTGGTGGACCCTGGGGTCAATGTAGTGAAATAAGTACATGTAGATCTAGGTTTAATTTTAAGGATTGGTGGACCCTGGAGTCAACGTAGTGAAATAGGTAGGTTTAAGGTGGACCCCAGGGTCTACCTAACGAAATGCTAGTTAGGTTTTTAGAATAGGTGGAACCTGCGGGGTCACCGTAGTAAAATAAGTAGGTTTAATCTAGGTGTCCCGGGGGTCCACCAATCCTTAATTAAACCTTATTCCTCTACGGCTATGGTGACTCCGGGGTCCACCAATCCTTTTAAAATTAACCCTACTTATTTCACTACGCTGACCCCGGGGTCCACCAATCTTTAAAGAAACATACTTATTTCACTACGGTGACCCCGGGGTCCACCTGTCCTAAAACCTAGTATTTCGCTAGGTAGACCCCGGGGTCCACCTTAAACCTGCTTATTTATCACTACGTTGACCCCGGGGTCCACCAATCCTTACTTAAACCAAACCTTATTTCACTACGGTGACTCCGGGGTTTACATCCTAAAACCTAGTATTTCGCTTTGCAGACCCCGGAGTCCACCTATCCTCTTCAGGACTAAACTATTATCAATTTGCAATTTTTATTGATTAGCATATTTTTTTTAAAATATTGAATCAGAGATTCGCTTTCTAAAAAGTCCACTGCTAATGCTATTCTTTTCAAAGAAAATGGCACAATTTGATTTTATGACATGTTGAAAAAAAAGAGTTTTAAAAATATCCCGAAAACAACATAAAATGATGATATAGATCTCTCTCTCTCTCTCTCTCTCTCTCTCTCTCTCTCTCTCTATATATATATATATATATATATATATATGTGTGTGTGTGTGTGTGTGTGTATTTTATTATATGTATACTAAAAGACTGAGCAGAGGCTTACAATGTAAATTCTCTGCTCTACAAGTAGAGAAAATCTTAAGTTTGCGCAAAACAGATTTTAGAAAAAAAGTTGGATCTAATTATTCTAATAAAAGTAAAAGTGATTGTTATGCTGAGATTTGTTATTATTAACTCTGGAAATACAGTTACTTGCTGAATCTAAAAGTAACTAGAACTGTGCAATTCGTTTTATTTCAATTCCAAAGCCCAAAGGCATAGCAATAATAAGTTAGATCTAGATCTAGCAGTTGTAGGCTCTCTGGCTACTTCTAGCATAGGCCTGCTACTACTGATTCTAGACAGGGAATCTAGATCTTGCTATCGCCTGCACTATTTAAGTCAAATATATGGTAAAATAAAAACAAAACTGAATTTTTTGTCAGTCAGTACATCCCAATTGCCATAGCCGCACGTATTAATAGTTGAATAATGCGATACCGAAGCAACACGTTATCACAGTGTGCAGGGGAGAGCGAGGTGCTCGGTCGATTCGGTGGTTCGGCTTTTGTAGATCTATGCATTTTTTACGGAAAGCCCTATTACCTGGCCTATTACTAGATCTATTAGTATTAGTGTTGTGAAAACTTCAACCTCTACAGCTCAGGCGTCAAAAGATGCTGGAAAATAATAATGCGTCCTGAAGTTTCATAATTTATTTTTATACAGCATAACACAGTACACAGCCAGTAGTTTTTATTTCACCGAGTTATAAAAATGGCCTTCGTATAAAAATTGCCTTGTTTTCAGAAGCAAATTTTAATAGTTCTAGTTCTACCGAATCGATTTTCAGGCGAATTCAACCATTTTGATGATCTTTGTTTTCCTTTTAAAAAGATGTAGATCTAGGCCTGTCGGATGTGGCAGTGTGATTAACACTGAGTTGTTTAGATCTAGATCTAGACCCATCAAAACACGAGGCTTCGTGGCCGATCACAAAAGTCTACGGGGCTTATCGAGGCCGATTCGCCCTGCTGCGAGCACGTTCACTAAACTGCCTATAGATAGAATCTACTACCAAATATTCTCTACACGATCTTTGCTACTACTACTACTAGGCCTACTAGCCTACATGTACTACTACGAGACAGTAAGAGAGAGTGTCACTCAGACAAAGATAGTGTAACTTTGACTCAGCCACGTAGTGTACACACTTTTTATACCCCAAATTTAACCCGGAAGTCCATTCGGAGGATTTGACCTTTTCACTTGACCAAAGTGTGCCAAAATGGTAGCCTAGCTTTTGCCCCTCCATGAAGGAAAAATCTGGCCCTCATTCAAACCATTGGGATTGAGCAAAATTTTGCGTATTGTGCTTTGTTCTTTACAATATTCATTATGGTTATGATTTATAAGTTGTACACTGAGACAAAACCGTACTAAATGAGAAAGGTGCACCATTATGAAAGTGGAATGAACTCAGTTGCCTGAAAAGGGTAGTTT